ATTCCTGCACAGTTCCTCTTCCCACCCGAATGCAGAATTTAGCCATAGTCAGTGACTCTCTTGTGAGTTGCTGCTCACCTGAGCAGCCAACACATACCTACACTGGCCGGTTGCTGGGCACTTGCCCATGCCCCACAAACTACATAGGGTCTGGAGAAGTGCAAGTGCTGCTTGGCGCTGCCAAGCCCTGAATGTCAGCATGTGCCATAGCAGGGTGATGACCTGTGCAGATGAATGCTGTCCTGGACACCACCAAGGAAGAGTTGGGGTAATGTGGAAATTGTGAGAGGCCGCTCTCTACAGGCAGAAGAGACAAGGCTGCCCTGTTTTGGGAAGTGGAGGAGAACCCAGCTATGTGAATATGAGCTGTGTTACGCCACTTGGCCCCCGGCTCAGAAAATGAATTCTGGCATAGCTTAGTTACTCATATAGGCACAACAGAAAATAGCATTTGGAAGCTTTCCAGTTCCCCATCGTTGCAGTGGCCCATGCTATGCAGTTGTTGTCTTGAGCTTTTATGAAAATATTTTGTCTTTTAAAAAATTCTGTGTTTTTTCAAGCTCTGTTTAAAAATTCAAAGGCTTCTTGCTCCCTCCTGGGCCAAAAAAAAATATCTTCTGAAGTTTTACAGCTCCTTTTTATTGGGATTACTGCATAAAGCTGAGCAAGACAACGTTTTAAGTCTTCCCTCATGAGACAGACATTCCTCTCTCCTGTTCAGTTTGCAGTTTCTTTGGTCACTGTGCTCAGCTCTCCAGGCTGTGCCCACCCCCAGACTAGTGGTGAGGGGGATGTTGGAAAGCCAGCCTTGATGCTGTGAAGCACTGCTCAGCTGTAGCGTGTTATCAACCTTTCCAGCTCCCAACAGACAACACAGCACTGTGAGGAACATTAACTCCATCTCAGCCAGACCCAATGCAAGCATCTAGAAATATATACGTGAAAAAAACACCCAAAACAAAACCAGAACTACCCACAACCCCCCCATATATATGTGGATATATATTTTTATATATATATATAAAATAATGCAGTTTGTCAGAGAGAATCCCAAAAGAAAACCAGAGTGCTAAGTAGAGGAAATAAACTCTTAAGAGAAACAAAATAATCCTTAATAAGATTCTGATGATCATAATGTTTAAACAGTTAAGTTTTGAAAATAAAGCTGGGTCAGTAATGTGAAATATCTACTCCTAAATTACTTCAGCACTTTATAGAAACAGCATATGCTAATATTATTAATAAAAATTAGAATATGATGACGACATATAAAACTCACTTTCCTATATTTTTATCAAAAGAGAACTAACTGCTTTTTTCAGTCTGCAGGAAGCTTACTGTTTGGGTTTGCTTATTTCTCACAGGCAAATTGCTCTGGTTAATAAATATCTTTTTTGACCTGAAATTGTAATTTATGTTAGTTTGTACAGTTAAGTGTGAGTAGAAAGTTCAAAGAGAATGGACTAACTGTTGCATTTTCTGTTGCACAGTAACAGAGGAGAGGAAGATGTAGTGTTATCACAGTGGTGTGGCATTCCAGAGACTTGAGTTGGTTATAACGCAGATGCAGGTTACTCTATTCTGAAATTATGGGTATACCCTTGAATTTGAAGTTATCTTCAGCCCAGGGAAGCAAATTGCTCATTTTTTCTTTTGGTTTATATCCCATCTATCTTCTGGATTTCTAAATTTTACCAAGGCACAAAGGGAATTTCAAGTGCATTCTGCAGTTGCTAAATTGGTACTTGCCTTCATGTCCAAACAGTTTTTCAGCTGCTGGGCCACTAATTCTCACAGTACTGTAAAGCCATGGTCTGTGTTTGCAGCCTTACAGAGTGTGCAGGTCAGCATCCCAGCATCTGCCACCTGGTGGGAAGGTTTGTTTGCCTAGTTAAAGGCCTCTTGGAGAAGCTACTGGATTATCGGACTGTGATGAATGATGAGAACAAGGACAACCGCATGAGCTGCACTGTGAACTTACTGGTATGTTCTCTTGTCATTCCTGTGTGACGAAGGGAAAGA